AGGGGAATCTGAGAAAGAAAACAGAAATACTTACACAACAACCTCATGTAAGAATAAGTACCAGAGGCTAAGGAAGTAGCTCAGTGGAACACTTTCCTAGCATGCACAAGGCGCTGGATTTAATTGCCACAAGCTTAAGTAAAAATTAAAGCTGTACTATATGATTTCAATGTGGCTAGTGAGGCCTAAGTTCATTTTCTAAAATGTTGCAGAATTAAAAAATGTTTTCAAGCTGAAAAGGCACACACCAAATACTCAGTGCCATAAACGAAAACAGTCACAAAAAGGCCCACCACTGTAAAATTTCAGAACATACAAAGAGAAGGAAAAATAACACACACAGGTCACACCCAACATATGAGAAATGACATATTGTATAAAATGGCTACAGATGTCTCAAAAGCAGTATGGATGCTAGAAATCAATATTAGAAAATTATAAGAGAACATATTTTCCCACCTGTTATTCTTTACCTAGCCAGAGAATCAAACAAGTATAAAGGTCAACTAAAGCCATTTTAAAATACCAAATAAATCAAGAAAGAAGAGAACAATGGTGACTGGAAAATGGAGATCCAATACATGAGAAAATGAAGGGAGTCCCAGGATAATGGTTGTGTACCACGACTGGATGGCAATTGGTCCAGAATGCAAGTCAAAGGGATATGAGAAAGACTTCTGGAAGATAAAATTGGTAACAATCCTCGATGCTAGTGTTGGACATCTAATGAAATGAAGACTTAGTGATAAACATAGGGAAAACTAAACAGAGGAAAGGGAGAGAGGGGGAGGAGGGCAACTTCAAACACATCGCTCCACCTGAAAATTTCTAATCAGCTCTTTAGTCCTCTTACATTTAAGGGCAAACACACAATCAAGAATTACCAGACATCTGAGGAAGGGCTTTATCATAAAGGTTGGGCCCCAAAATACAAAAATGGGAAGGAGCTATGACAGGGAAAAGGCAACTGGAAAAACAGACTATGCTGATAAACAAAAACTTAAAAGAGAACCCACCAACATTTCTATATACTAGATAGCTAAGGACAGGGTGAGGGGAAGCAGCTACAGGAGACTGTATTGCATAGGAAAAATAATGATCTTCTATAAGAATACTGAATTAAGAGTAATATAACTATTAACTATTGAGAGGATGGGGTACTGTTAACAAGGGTGACCAGATAGGTAAATCTTCATTTTCTAACTAAGAAGTTAATGAAGCAAAAAAACAAAACAAGGAATTATTTAACGAACACTTACTTGGAGCATAATGGGGTTTTTTTGGAACTGGGGGAGTCAAACTCAGGACCTCCCACTTGCCAGGCAGGCGCCTCAGCCTGCTGAGCTACATCCTCCGCCCTTAGGGCATAATGAATTAGACTAAATCCTCTGAATATTCCAAACTAATCCTCCTAACAAGTTTTTGACTTACTATTATTCCCAGTTCTTAAAATGAGAAAACTGAGGCACAGAGGGTTAAATAGCCCAAAGTTAAGAAAAGATCAAACCTAAGGAATTTAATCCAGAGTCTGTGCTCCTAACCATCAAGCTATGTTGCAGAGCTCAGAGCAACTCAAGCATGTTAAAGCAGAGGGAAGTATCACAATAATCATCTGAAAAAGGTGAAAGTGCTTCCAAGAAAGAAAGTCTAGGAAAGAGGGCAGCTTATGTATTTATGTAGTTATCTAGGATAACCATGTAAACTATTACCTTTTTAAATTGTAGATACATTTCAAATAAAAATAAAAACTTTTTTAAAATTATAATTTGTTATTTTACAGTTAACTGATCCTATCATCCTTGGAAGCAGGCAAAACGAGTATTTCTCCTATTGTACAGGTCAAAAAACTCTTTGGCTCAAGCCGAGAGTGGTAGTACACGCCTGTAATCCTAGCACTTGGGAGGCTGAGGCAGGAGGATCGTTGTGAGTTCGCAGCCTGGGCTACAAAGTTAGCTCAAGGCCAGCCTGAATTGCATAGCAAGACCTTATCTCAAAAAAAACACAAACCTCTTTGGCCTACTATAAAACAGGCACTGTATTTAAAAGATAGCCATCAATTTGTCTCAAGGAACAATGAAGAGGTTAGGAAGTCATTTTATTGATTTATTTTTAATCCACTGCATAAATTATGAAATCCTGCACTCTCTAAAAGCTGTTAAGATGAGAGACAACATAAACTTTAAACCATGATAGAAAAAGTAGAAAAATGTCTGCTTATTAATTTGTTTTAAAAATATTTAGTCCCTACCCTTAGAGAATTCCTAGTCTTGTGGGAAAGACTGGTAAACATAATTATAATCAAATACAATGTGCTTAAGCAGTGCTAAGGCAGAAAGAAGAACATTAAGAAGGACTAGGAAATATCTCCTGGGGAAAGAAAATCCTTTAGAGGGAACATCTGAGCTGAGTCTTGAAGGATGAATAGAAGTTTGATAATTTCACATCAAAATCTTCCCATTCTTATAAAGTTCATATTAAAGATTAAAACATCAAGATCTTTTAGTAAGAATGATTTTTTGAAAGCAAATATATAACCTTAATCCCTTAAGCCATGTTTCTCATCTTTACCATCTGCAACAGCCAACAGAAAACTTTCCATGTCTGACAAACGTTAGAAAATCTGAAGTGCTAAAACATCACAAAAGATGATTAAATAACCACCCTCACTCATTCTACCACCAAAACTTTATAGTTAACATACTTCCTGCATCATAACATGGTAATGATAATGTACCCCTTCTCTAGTAAGAGACTAACGGTGACCAAAGGGACACAGAAGAAGCTAAAAAGGAAGAAAAGTAAAAATAATTGTGCATTTAGAGATTTTATCACTTTTTTCTCTGGTCTTCTCCCAAAGGCAACTTCATATAAAACATTTCTTTTTCCAAAATATATACATAACATTAGCGATCCTTTCTGACCTTACAGGTATTTTAGGAGTGAAACATTTTGATTTTAAAGAATTTGAAGGATACCGCTCAAACAAAAAATTTTTGATTTTGATTATTCAATTTGATACCAACTAACAAAGGTTCCAATATGGAAATTCAAAATGAGTACATTCTGAAGACAAGTTACTTTGGACCAATATTTGATCAAACTTCTCTTCCCTTTCTAAATTTGAAACCTTTTTATATAATTTGTCCCTAATTATTCTTTAGCTCAATCACTACCTGGAAAATAATTTTGTGCTAATATCTTTAACCAGGATTCCATCCCTACAGTTAAAACCCTAGTTGTAAGTAGAATTTTCTGACTTTTAACTGTGTGAAACCGCTAGCTGTGGAAAGCCCTACTATACCTTCTACATCAACAGAAAGAAAACAAAACAAAACAAAAAAGGTATACCAGAAGACTACAAACTGTAAAAAACAAAATCAGTGCTTGGGTTCCATTTGTTTGTCAACTTTGTCTTTTATCTCTCTAAATTTAGCACCTATATAAACATACTAGTTTTTATATAAACTTCATTCAGTTCACACTCTTGATTTACAAAACATAAAAACTACGGTAATTCTTTAAAATTACAGGTGAATATCAGAATGATAAAATTAAAAGCCAAATAATAATTATAAGGGAATTATTAAAGAAACTATCTCTTAGAAGTCTCTTTAAAGAACATTTTGTTAGAAAAATATAGACATCTGGTTATTAAGATTTTAATTATATGTCCATTAGAAAAATAATAAACTTCAAAGACAAATATTTCAATTAACAATGCCTTTTCCTCTTAGCTTTAAAAAAACAAGTAAACATTTGGCCTGTTTTATTTTTCTAAAATTATTTTCCAGTAAACTCAGGCTTTCCAAAGCAAAATCCACAAATAAATGTACAGAATATAAATGCTTCAGCTGGTTTAACCAAAGTTCAAACCCAAAAATCTTTAACTAATACTAAAATAATTAAATATCTTTCATGCTTACTCAAAATTTCAGTGAAAATGAATAGTCTTTTCATAACTCCTACGATATTTTTATCAAGGTTAGTCACAGACTGGCAGATTTGTGAAAAGAATTCCTTTTAAAAAAAAATCAACTAAGTCCTAAAGCAACATAGAAAGCAAACGTAAGATTTCACTTTTCAAGCCAGTCATCTTCAAATATGCAATTTGAGTCATTAAGTATGATTTGTGCATCACTTCCAATCTGAAAAAAATGCTGCTCCAATAATATATTTCAGGCTATACGGGGTTATTTGGGGGGAGGGGAGTGAACAGGTGGAGTGGATTAGCACACAATCTTATTTTCATGCCTGTATAAATTCAACACTCCCAAGTCTTTCTTTACTCTAAAATGGCTACCACCTTGACGTACTATGCAACAGAAAAAATATACAGCATACTACTATCAAAGACAAATGTAGTTATTCTGACAGTGTATGACTGACCACCCCCCACAAAAATGTTTTAAATAAAGAGTCCCACTCTTTCTCTGTTAAGATAAAGTAATCATTACATTAAGTCTACAACAGCTGGTGAACTACATTATAAGGTCAACCTATACAGGCCAGATTAGGTCATCCTTCCTAGTGTTTGAATAGGAAAAGCAGGTAACATCTTTCACAGCCTAAGATGAAATACACTATAACTGAACAATAATTATCTACAAAGGAGAACAAATTTGGCAACTGCAGCCCTCCAAGAGATCTTCACAAAGATTTTAGTTAACTCAAGAGAATAGATTAGCTATTTTGTGGGTTAGAAAAATGTAAGCTTTTCATGACTGATCTTCTAAACAGCATTTTATGAACAAAAACTATTTGGTGGCCCCAAACCTAATTTTAATATACGTTCAATAACTTGACTATTATACATTATACTACTTCCTACCCACTCTGAAATCATTCCTTAATACTTTTCCTTTAGAAAACTTACCATGAATATGAATTTACTTACAAAATAAACAATATGTAACGCTTTACCCTAGTCGTAAGTGCATATATTGCTACTGAATAAATTAACTCCAACTCTGAATGTCTGCAGAAATATGCCATGATCTTACCTCTCATCCTCGCCATCCACCAAGGGTGTTGTCAGCGGTAGCACCTTCAACGGGAAAAGAGAAGCAGAGGCTGCTAGGCTGCTGCTACTCCCATCTGAAACTGCTGACATTCCCCCACTGTCACCACTGGTAGTCTGAGGTAAGCCAACTACGGAGGGCTCCACTGGGCGCCTGGCATCTTCAGTGTGGCTTCCAATTGCCTGAGCTAATGATTGTGCAGAGAACTGAGTAGAACTTAGTGGTAACTGTTGTGCCAATGGCAAATTTATGTTAGTTGCTATCAAGGGAGGTTGACTAACACTTTGAACCAAATTACCACTTTGAGTGGCAGGGGGTTGTGCTATATTCTGTGGTGGAACCAAGTTTGTTGGGGCAGAAGGTATTCCAGGACCACCTGAACTAACCTGGTTTGTAACAGGAATACTACTAGCAGAGGGTAAAGGACTAACTGCGGGCAACTGCTGTGAAACAACTCCTTGAACTACCTGTTCTACTCCTTGTGGCTGGGGAGGCACAGTTAACAAGGTACTCTGGGGTGCAATGACCAACTGTGGAGGAAGGCTTGAAGTGCTAGTTTGAACTCCCTGATGAATAATCCCAGTTTGAGCAGGTAGAACTACTTGTGAAGATGGAGGAGCACCTTGCTGAATAACTGAAGGTGTAGACTGGGTAGAAGGCTGCTGCACTGCAGTAGGTACATTTACTTGTTGACCAATAGTTGCAATTTGACCTCCAATAGGTACAGCAGACATTGCTGTTTGAGCCTGGCCAACAGGCTGGCCAGATGCGCCTGCAGGTTGTGCTTGAACTGCTGTGGACTGCATTGGCAGCTGGATCCCCTGTGGCTGTGCTACAGGAATCACCGTTGTTCCTGTTCCCGCTCCTGCAGAACTGGGCTGCCCAGAGGACATTGCTGTTTGCAGAAGTGACTGCTGTGGTACATATTCTGAAGTAGGATTTTGAGTCACTGACTGACCATGGCCTGGGGCCATTTGTGTAGAAACCATTGGTTGCTGTTGTCCATATTGTAACTGCTGGGGTGGTGCCCCCGGAAGGGCAGTTTGCACTGGAGGAGCTGTCTGTGAATATGGCAGCTGGGGTTGAGCCAAACTGGAAATGGAAGGCTGCTGAACTAAAGCTGAAGTTACACCAACCACGTTTATAGGTGATGGCTGGATACCAGTTGCAGCACTGACAGTGGCTTGCAGAGGTACCGGTTGAAGACCTTGTTTTTGCTGATAGCCTAGTTCTTGAGACTGTAAATGTACTTGTGACATCTGTGACTGAGAAATACTCTGTGGTATACTAACTGCCGAAATACTCTGTGGACCAGTGCTACCGAAATCCATCTGCTGGAGGGCCACACCTTGAAGAGCTGGTGGCTGCTGCGGTACCAAGGTAGGAACTCCCATCTCTCCACTTCCCACACTCTCTGTGTAGTGACTCAGTGTGCTGACACCACTGCTCACTGAACTCCCACTAGTGCTCTCCCTCTCAGAAGTCAATTCTGCCAGGTTTTGTTTTACAGTCTCCACCACTTTATTTGTCACACCTTCTGTAGCAGATACAGCATTTTCTTTTTCATAGAACTCAGTGCAAGTCCATCTGCCTTTTTTAAACGGTTCAGAAGTAGAATCTAACTTCACAACTCTGAACCTTGATGTGTTAACTGTTGGTTGTTGCTGCTGACTTGAAACTAATCCCACATTCGTTCCCGCAGTTGCATTAGGGACACTGTTAACAGCAGAGGAAGAAACAGTACCATTGCCCATACCACTCAAGATATTCACATTAATACCACTGGTAGCTCCAGGCCCAGCACTTACACTAGGAATATTGCCTGTACTTATATTAGCATTACCAAGCATGCTGCTTGTCACATTAGGACTGAAACTACCCACAGAAGCAACATTAACATTATTCACTCTACTAGCGCCAGTACCAGAATTTATACCTACACTGCCTGTAGTACTTGGAGCCCGGATATTAGTCATTACAGATGCAGGTGAGCAGCTCGATGATACAGCAGAAGTTGGTGTCACTGGCACAACACCCTCAGAGCTTCCAGATGTAGAGAGTTTTCTGGATACTGGGCTTGCGGGTGGCCCTCCAGGAACGGCTGCACTGGCCACAGCAACATGGGCTGGATGGTGCCCGTGGTGGAGGTGGTGCCCGTGGTGGAGATGATGGTGGTGATGGTGGTGTGCGTGAGCATTCCCATTGATCACAACATTTTGTTGTGGGAGGTGAGGCAAATGAGGCTGAGGAAGGTGAGGCTGGTTAGGAGAGACTGCTCCAGGAGTCTCTGCTTCCTGGAAGTTATTCAGAGTCTCTTCTGAGGAGCTGCGCTCAGGCTCCCCTAGGTCAGTAGCCCTGGAAAGCGATACATCAAGGATCTCCGAAGAAGAGAGATCTTCTGTGTGAGATTCATCCAGATCGTCGTAGCTCTCGGTGTCCTCTGCTATGCTGTTGTTCGAGCTGATACTGGCAGAGATCTGCGCCGGAGTAACGCTAGTTATCTGAAAGCCACTTTTCTTTTTCATCTGAGTTCCGCCTGGCGCGAGGGGCTGTGCCTGCAGCTGAGCCTGCGAAAGGAGGTTCAGGCTTTGTGGAGGCGGAGGCTGCGGTCCCGGCGTGGACGATGCTGCAGCAGGCGCCGGCTGAAGCAGCGACGGAGGCGGAAAGTCCTCAGCAGACGTGGCGGTACTACCAACACCGGTACCTGCTGCACCGAGCGCAGAGGCGCTGCCCCCGCCGCTGCCCCTTCGAGGGAACACGGCCGGGTGCGCCATCTTCCTAGCGCTGAAGTCTGCAGCGGCGGCGGCCGCGGCGGCGGACTCAGGCGGCTGGTGCATTGTGTCGGTACCGGCGGCGCAGGGGCGAGGGCAATTTCCTCCTACACCGTAATCTTTGTGCTCGAGACGCGCACAGGAGAGCCGGACCCGACGCTCCGCCCGGCGAGAGTCTTCCTCCTCCTCCTCAGCCCGAGGCGCCGGCCGCTGCTGCCGCCGAGGGCGAGCTTCGGGAAGGGAGGATGAACGAGCGTGAGCTGGGCGGCCGGGGCCAGAGGGGACCCCTCAGTCCTCCGCCATTCACTTTCCCACCAGCCTCACACCCCCTTTATATTCCGCTTCACGTGGGGTGCGGGCACGGGGGGAGGGAGGGGCGGGAGGGGCGGGCAGGGCAGGG